CTCTCTCTCTCTCCACCGAGAAACAGCTCACAGTGTCCACTCTCTCTCTCCACTGAGAAACAGCTCACAGTGTCCACTCTCTCTCCACTGAGAAACAGCTCACAGTGTCCACTCTCTCTCTCCACCGAGAAACAGCTCACAGTGTCCACTCTCTCTCCACTGAGAAACAGCTCACAGTGTCCTCTCTCTCTCCACCGAGAAACAGGTCACAGTGTACACTCTCTCTCCACTGAGAAACAGGTCAGTGTCCACTCTCTCTCTCCACTGAGAAACAGGTCAGTGTCCACTCTCTCTCTCCACTGAGAAACAGCTCGCAGTGTCCACTCTCTCTCTCTCTCCACTGAGAAACAGTTCACAGTGTCCACTCTCTCTCTCCTATCGTCTCTCTCTCCTGCCCCAGGCCCCCCTGCCTGCTCACCTGCATGCCGCAGACGCGGACCCCGATGATGGCCGAGGTGCTCTGCTGGCACTTGCGGATCTGGTTGGCCTTCTTCTCCTCGGTGGCGTCGTCGCCGTGCTGCCGGGTGCCCATCTTCAGGTCCAGCACGCAAGGCATGGCGTAGCGCCAGGTCAGGTTCTCCAGCAGGATGAACTCTGGGAGCAGCGGAGTCAAGGGCCACACGGCGCGCCGCAGACGAGGGTGCGCTCCCCAGACGGCTGCCCCGCGGGGCGCCCCCAGACCCCCCCCCCCGCTGCCCTCGGAAGGTGACGCGGCCGTGGCGTTTCCGAGATAAACTTGCCTTCCCCGCCCTTACCGCAGTCGCACCACGGACGTCTAGTAAAACACGACAGCTTGTTGCCATTTCTGCCGGTCATGCTTCTCCGCCTTAACAACAGCTTCCCCGACCTCCGACCTCTGACCTCACACAAGCGCTAAACCCAGCCCGGCGTCAGCCAGCACACGCTCCTTCAAGACCTCCCGATTGCGCAACGATGCAGTCGTTTCTCAAACCTCTCTAAGCAAAGGAATATATAGCTAAAGACCCTCATTACCCAGCGGTGTCCCGTTCCAAACTCTCTCTCTCTCGTCCTACAGCCTCCTGTTTCCGGCAGGACACCTCTCACTGAGGCTAAAGGCTAAACAGGAGAACTTAGCTGTTTGGAGGAGTGAGGCTTAAGAAACCTTTCAGAGGGGGAGTGTCAGAGAGCCCCACGTGTCTCGATGCGAACGCCACCACGACGCCCGACATCGCCACACTGCGGTCGTGAACAGAGCCCCGGAGCCACCTCGTCCGGAAAGGATACTGTACTGGTTGCGGTGCTTGGCGTTCTCCTTCATCCTCTGCAGCTGCTGCTGGTGGCACTTCATGCTCCAGGGGTTGTGCTTGAACTGCGCCTTCACGTTGCCCTTCTCCAGGCTGTAGCGCAGCACCTCTGACTGGTTCGCCCACTCGCACTCCTCCTCGCGGTGGCTGCTGACACACACGCACACAGAGAGAGAGAGGAAAAATGATGAAGCTGAGAAGCTCCCCTGTGCAGACCTCCTCGGACAGAACGGCAAAGAGCGACTGGAAGCAGACGGCAGCAGCTGGCTGTAAAGGCTGTAAGGGATCGTTCCACTCCGCACTGGGAGTCTGATCCACCTCCCTGCCTGTGCCGTCTGGAAGCGTGCCGCACATGGAACAGGCCCCAGCGACTCCACAGATGAGCACACAGCGGAAACGGAACAGTCTCCTACCGCCCTTTCGATATCAAGAGTCTGACTGCAACAAACGGTCGTCTGCCAACAGCATCTGACCCTGTGCCGCCGGGGCTCGTGTGACTCTGGGCGTCTGAGCGAGCGAGTGAGCGAGCGAGCGTGTTCGCTTCAGCGAGCTTCCCTGGAGGAGGGGCTTCAGTAGCAGAACAGTCTGTACCGACACTCTCCCTGGTGAAAAGCAGAACTGGAGCAGCGCTCTTACTGCTGGGTCACCCGAGACCGCAGCTCCGTCACTAAAAGCTGTGCTGGAAACAACTAATTAAGCTGCACACTCACAGTACTGTCTTTATTCGTCTTTAATTAGTTTACTGACTCAGAATAGCTCTTTTTCCCCTCTGTGTTGGCGTTAGTGTTCTGAGACTTGTACAGTGTCCCTCCAAGTCTCTCAGTGTGTCTCTGTGTGTGTGTGTGTGGTCTCAGGCTGGTCTCTCACCTCTTCAGCTTCTCCTCCTTGCGCAGCTGCCGGGCTCTCTCCTTGCTGTAGTTCTCGTTGTCCAGCAGGAGCCCCTGCTTCTTGTTCCCCCACTTGACCATCTTGTTCTTGGGCTCGCAGTCGGCCGAGGGGTCCACGTTCTTCTCCAGCTCTCCGGCGTCGCTGTGCAGGGGGTAGGCGATGAGGCACAGGTTCCCTTCCTCATCCCCCTCGAAACTCACCGACACCACACCTGGAGGAGACCGGAGAAGGACACCGAGAGGAAACGGGACTTCCGTTAGCACAAGCGTCATCGCATTTCTATATTTACAGGACACAGCCTACACAACTGCCCAGCAAAAACCTCAAAACAACAGAGGAGTTGTGCTGGGAACCCATTCCTCGCTCTTACCCACTTCTCTTTTTTTTTTTCTCTCTCTCTTAAAAGGGACAGATCTCTCCAGGCTTTTAAACTTAACAGTGCTCCCTGGATCTGGCTTCTTTGAACCCGACGGAGGATCAAAAGATCTGGACAGTCGCAGGACACACAGACAGGGAGACTGGCAGAGCTCGAGATCCAAGGAATGAGAGGGGTGGGGAGAGATGGGGCACAAAAGTGGGTGCGCATGAGAGTGCAGCAGCAACAACGGAACCCCCTCCTCCCCCCGTCAGGCAAAGCTCGAGCAGGTTCCCCAATAAACACAGGAGGCGGGAGTGGATGCAGTTAAGGCAGGGCTTTATTGGCAATGAACTGGAGTTCATTACAGCATCACAATGCAGATGGTGCGAGAGATATATATATATATTCAAAATATATAGAGAGAGAGAGACGCATGATTAACATTGTCTGCTTTGTTTTCCAATCGTCCCCATCCGTACAAAAGTCACAATATTAAGACATACAGCAAATGAGCACACCAAGCCAGCGAGCTCGTGACAGGTCATGAGGAAGCCAGGGACTGTACAACACACAGTCCAGTTACAGCCCTGGTCAGGACACAAGCAAAACACGGAAGAGAAAGGAGATTCGGGAAAATCAAAACAAAAAAAAAAGAACAACAGGTGCTCCGCGCGGGCGTTTATTTTAAATGCAGTAACTGGCCGGCGCTGAAGACTGGCCCAGACACACACACAGGTATCGCCACAGCAGGCCAGGAATGAGACAGTACTGCTCCCTGCTCTGTTGTCTTCTGCCCACAAGTGCTCGTAGTGGACAGGTGGACACGGGTGGGGGAGTCAAGCATCTCTTTATTAGAAAAGTCTTTGAAACTGGCAGAGAAAGGCGCCCCAACAATTCACAGATCCTTCCAGACATGAAAAATCCTTCTCACCCCAACCCCCTCCACTCTCAGCACTACTGACAGCGACGCGCGCTCAGAGCTGGACAGAGCGGTTGGCGTGAAGGTGGTCCCAGGTGCGAGGGGGGGTGGGGGTGGGAGGGGAGACTGGCCCCCCGGCAGATACAGACCAGGGCTGGGGTGAAGGGAGGGGTCCGGCAGGAAGCAGGTGAGACTTGTTAGGTGGAAAGACAGGTAAGGAAGTCGGGCAAAGAGAGAGAGAGAGTAAAGAGGAAGGAGAGCAGTGCAGAGAGAGACAAGAGGCAGACAGAGAAACAGAGAAAGATTCTGTTCCCTTGAGGTTTTACTGAAGGAGAGATGAAGCACAACGCTGAAGTGAGTTCACAGCCCACCTGTCTGGTGCAGAAGAACAGCACCCAGCCCGTGTTACAGCCTAAAACCGAAATAAACCTCTCTCGCGTACCAACACACACACACCTCCCCAGAAAATGGACACAACAGCATCATAAGACAACAGCCCCCAACAATTTCCACAGACATTTTGAAGCCTGTGAGCCCCAGACTTCAGGACCCCACAGTGTGTGTGTGTGTGTGTTTGAGATCCCTGGGCCTAAAACTCGCAACTCACAAGACCCGACGACAATGAAAACAAAAAAAAAATGAGGCAACGTGGGTATTTTAATTCACTGAAGGTTTATTGACAGAGATATTGCTTCTGTTTTAGGAGTGTCAGTTTACAGAAACCACAGCACGCTTGCGAGATCAGATAACAACATTATCAAGGATCACCATGTTATCAAACCCCAGCTGCCTCGTTGTCTAAATTTTACTGCGCCTGAGTAAATCAGAATGTTGGCAATTGTTTTTCTAAGCCAACTGCAGTAGCCCTTACCATGGTACCTGTGAACATACATTCGCATCAAGATCTGCACCTTAATAACATTTGCACAGCATCGTGCTAAAATAAAAGGTTTATGCCGAGCTGGCCACAAGGTCACTTACCTGTCTCCTTACCCAGGACTCGGTTACAGGTGTGCACACCTGGCACTACAGTGCCCCCCTGTGGCCAGAGCTGGCTAGCGCCGAGGCGTACAGAGCAGGGGTCTGCCCTCAAGCGGGCTCGCCCGTCGGGGCTCGAAGCCACCTGTCTCGGGAGAGGACCCGCCTTCACCTCGCCTTACCTCAGACTCCTGCTCTCCTCTGCCTAAAGGGAGATGCTTCGACACCGGGATACACGCACAGACACAGACACAGACACACACACACACACGCCTCAGTGGCGGAGGACAACGTAACGAACACGCCGATCGCCACCACTGCACTCACGCGACCGCCCGGCCTCTACACCTGACGCCCTCGCGCTGAGGGACAGAGAAAGACAGAGAGGGAGAGAGCAGGGGGACCAGCAATAGAGAAGCAATGCATTCCAGCGCGACACATCCCCCAGGAACAGGCACCTTAGACCCTACACAACAACAACAGGACCGCGACGCGCTGGGCGGGCCGGGCCCGGAGACTCACCCTTGTACTGCGGCGTGAACCTCCTCAGCTCGGCCGGCAGGCTCTTGTAGAACTGGTGCTCGCGGGGGATGAGAGGCTTGCAGATCGTCTGCTCGCTGAAGCGCAGGACGCAGGAGTGGCCGCCCACCTGGTGCACGAAGGGCTCAAGCAGCACCCCCTTGGCGGAGAAGCCCTGCTGCTCGGCCTGCATGGCTTCCAGCGCGGGACTCATCCTCGAGGGGCATCAGACACTCACCCCCTCCGCCGGGCTCGGGGTCAGCGGATGGAGAAGGGGGTCTCCGGGTCGGGTCGGGTCGGGCAGGTGGCTTGCCGGCGAGAGTGGGGGGGGG